AAATTAACATTCACTAGAGGTTTAAGTGACTTTCAAAAAGTAACACAAAGCTAGTATGTATCAGAACTAAGATTTGATCCCAGCTAAGTCCAAATAGAAATGGGTAACTCTGAAGAAAGGGCCTGAGAATGACAGAGTGCATACGGGTTGTGGTGGCATGGCCTTTTCCCTCCTTTCTTAAAAAGAGATACCAGTTATATAAGTTTTATCATTTATGTTTACTTTGAGCTTCCTCGTGGCATATAGGTACAGGGATTTCATTAGGTTCAAAGAAGTTTTAAAGAAAAGAAACAAATTTGGTTGTGGAAGAATATTTTCAGTTCATACCAAATAATTGAAGTTTGCTGTGTAGGTTTTGTCTTCAAAGTCTTCCATATTGAGAATGTAGTGCACTAGCACCCTCTTCTGCTGGTTGCATCTCAGTTCTTCCATCTCTTGGACAATCTTTAGGAAGCTGTTAGTCTTGGAGTAAAATCGGTATGCAAAGTACTCGGGCTGAGGGTATTGAGGCAACACCCACCCATGAGCCTCGCAATTTTCGTTGGCCTTATAGGCTGCCTAGACAAAAAATCAAATTTATGGGTATTTTAGGATAAAGAGAAAGGATGAGTGAAAGAGTATTTGATAAGATGGTTTATCGTCATGCTGCTTTATCTCTACAAGAACATTTTATAGCCATTCTACCTTAAGTCTAAGCCAATTCCCCATTTTCTGGTTATACTCTAGAGCGAGCACTATGGTTTCTACAACTTAGTCTATTCAAGTCCTAATTAAATAATATTACATGAAATATTTTACTGTATTCTTTACTATAATTAACTTTTGCTAGAATGTAGATTACTATATCTCCCTCACTATAATATGAAGAACCTGTGAGTGCAAAAGTTTACCTTGCTACTGATAACATAATATGAAGTTTTGCTGAAAGATGGGATTTTTTTTTTTTTTTTTTTTTTTTTTTTGGAGACAGAGTCTCGCTCTGTCGCCCAGGCTGGAGTGCAGTGGCGCGATCTTGGCTCACTGCAAGCTCCGCCTCCCGGGTTCACGCCATTCTCCTGCCTCAGCCTCCCGAGTAGCTGGGACTACAGGTGCCCGACACCACGCCCGGCTAATTTTTTGTATCTTTAGTAGAGACAGGGTTTCACCGTGTTAGCCAGGATGGTCTCAATCTCCTGACCCCGTGATCCGCCCGCCTTGGCCTCCAAAAGTGCTGGGATTACAGGCGTGAGCCACCGCGCCCGGACGGGAAAGTTTTTATGAAATACAGCAAGGAGTTTACTCTGACCATACTAATTTACCATTCTCAACACAAAAAGTCTGAAGAGTCCTTTAAAAATATCTAAGAAAGATTGATATATAATTATTACAGATAGTAGTTTACTTCTTTCTTGAATATATCCAGAGAAATTCTCTACATTATTCCAAGGTAATACATTACAGGACTTCTCAAGTATTTCCTTCTATAAAAACACAATTCTCTTTCTATTTCCGTAATAAGTGAAGCGTTGCCTATTTTCAGCTAATTCTCCTTTATACAATTTAATATGTATGGTATCCGTCCTTTTCCCAGGACTCTTAAAATATTTTTTAATCTGCTTTTCATAGGGTCTATATTCTTAATATTTAACCATTTTCGGTACTGTAGATTCATACCGAGATGTATCTTTTCATTTCTGTTCCATAAATATAATCTCGCATAGACCTAAACCTTAGCAAGCCAGTGCAGTGTTTTTGTTTGCTTGTTTGTTTTTGTTTTACTTGCCTTTGGTTTAACTTACTTTCAAAGTGATATTTGGGTATGTAAACGTAGATGTGTCCAAGAAAAACTGAGCGATGCCATTTGCATCTGTGGTGTAGTTGCCCACAACTTTGTCCTTCAGATGCAACTGGACAACTTCATTTGGGATTGGAGAGTTGTCTGGATTAAGCAATTTAATCTGTACAGGAGGAAGAAAATACATTTCTGAAGCAGGTAGTAAATTTGGGAATCCATGTTGACGGCATTTGCCAAGGTTCTATCATGGGGACTCCCGCTCTCCTTGGTGTGTATGCACTTCCTGGGAGGCTCATCTACTCCTGCTGAGTGTATGACATGCACCATTAATACACTAAAGAGCCTAAACTCTGTTTCTCCTGCCCACAAAGATCTCTGAAAACTCAGGCCCATATCATTAACTACCCTGAATATTTTTTATAATAAAAATGCTACAGAAACCCTCAAATTGGAATGATTTATTACTGTGCCCACACTTCCCTTTTTTCTCTTTCTCTTATTTATCTCAGTGAATACCTCAACCATTCACTTAGTTACTAAAGTCAAATATCTAGAGACATCCTAGACTTATTTTCTTTTTCCTATGATTTTCAATTGTTGATAAAATATTTTCAATTGTATCTTTTTAACATTTTCTGTTTCCAACTGATCACATTCGTTCCTGTTGCTATTCCTTATATCAATTTCTTATCTTTTATCCCTCATACATCTTCTATTTTTTCTATCTAGTCTCTCTCTCCTGTATTGCTTTTGCTTGTTCTTTCTCTATACTGGCATCAAACCAAATTTTCTAAAATGCAAAATTTAGCATCATCCTCCCTAAAACATTGTAGTGACTGCTCTGATAGGCCATGGTTATTCACTAGAAATCTCTTTTTAATTCTCTTACTAGTACAGGCAATGATTGCTTTAAAAAGTCCCTTCTGAAATTGTATTATATATAGTAGATACAATGCCTGCATCAGTATCTATGCCAGTTTGAAGCCTTTAAAGGCAACCTTCTTAGCAACATCTAAGGCCACAATAGCCAGACAAAAACTGTCTGAGACATCCTTTTTTTAGCTCAGTCAGTTTCTGCAAAACCACTTCTGCTTTGAGCCTTTCATCTTATTTCTGCCACTTATCATTTTCCTGCTGGTCCAAGCAAACACAATCCTTTTTTCTTGCTCAGCATCTGTAGACCGATGCCTCATTTGCACCATCTACACAGATTTTGAATGTAGTTTCATCTCATAGCTTGATCTTGTAAGAAAAATTCAACTTGTCTCAGCTATCCATAGGCCACAGACACATGACACCTTGCCTTTAGGATCACACAGAGTTTCGCTCTAATTTTAGTACACCTAGACTAGAAAGATCCTTTGAGTCCCTTCTCGTCACAGGAAGATGAACAAGCCATATGATTTCTGGGCACTTTCCTTTCTTTCTTTGTCCCCAAACCCAAATAGTGCCCAAGTGATGACACCAGGCCCATTATCAACTGCTGGGGCCAGGCATGCAGCACTTCATTAGCAGATGTTTCTTGTGGCAGAGGTATTTGTCATATGTCCTGCAATTTTAAACAGCATCATTTCAGCCATCCACAGATGCTGCTACTGTATCTTGTAAAGGAATTCCCTTGTTAGCTCTCTGCCTTGCCCAGCTTCCTATGTTCAAATATGTTACTCTTGGAGTCATGCCTCTGAAGTCTTGAACTTTGTAGGGGATATTTAAAAAGCAGATAGTACCTCTATTCTGGCAATAAAGCTTACCCTTCCAAAGTGCTCCCTAGTAATACTGAGCCACGTGTTTGATGACCCTTATGACACAACACATGGCCAGATAAACCATTTTTAATTTCCACTAATGCAGCTACTATAGTGACTCACTCTATCACAGGGAAACCAGCCCCTTTTCCAAAAGTAGAACAGGAATGACTTGTTTCTCCTGGCACATCTCCTGGAAGTGATCAGAACATTCACCACTGTGAAATGGCCAAAAATCCGAAAGATACCACTTTATACAACCATGGTTTTGAACTAAAACATTTTATTCTTTGAGACTCACATCTGTTTATAGCTGCCATTGGTCTCCCTAAAACGATCAAGGAAATAAGAGCTCTTATATACGAGTTTTCAAGAACTGATTCCTTCAAATGCTAATGAAGAGGGTGTGTCCAGGCAGGACACTGTGCCTGCATGACAATATATTAATAACAGACTACATTGTCCACGGGGATGCCTGATTCATGTAGGTACCACCTATCCCCTACCACTCTGATAAATTATTACAAACCTCAGCTGGCTTTCCCAGCTCTCTATAGGAAAAGATGTCTTGGAGTTCTTGATTATAGGATAATACGATACCTTGAAGTGTTAAAAAGCTTTGAGAGGGAATGGGAAGGAGCTGGGCCTTAATGACTAGGCTAGGGCTTAAGTTCACACACACACACACACACACACACACACAGACACACACCTCTCAACCACGTCTTATGCTAGAGAAGACAGAAATAAAACCCCTGAGTTAATCTGGAGCATGATTGACTGGCAGATTTTAGGGGATTATTGCTAATTTTTTGGATGGGATAATAGGATTTAGGTAATCTTTTTAAAAACATCTCAAATAACCCTTCATTGAGAGTCACTATTCTAAGAGTGGCAAAATTCTAATTTATCACTTTTTAACTTATTAGCCAATAAATTTTGCCATTTGGCAATGTCTGCAAACACTTTGTGCTATCACAAATAGGAAGGGGATGGTGCTACTAGCGTTTAGTAGGTAGAGACCTGGGATGTTGCTAAACTCTAACCATACACAGGGTAGCCCGCACAGCAAAGTATTATCTGGCCCAAAATTTCCGTTGTGCCAAGGCTAAGAAAGAATGGGTCAGACAAACAATGCATCTAAATAATTATTGTCAATGTCTGCTAACATCTCAGTAAGAGAGGAAGAGTGCTTTCTGTGAAAAGTACATGACACTACCTATATTATATTCTTGCCTACTGTACCCACCAAAAATGAACTTGAATCTGATCAAGCTTCTGAACCTCTCTACTGGTTTATAGGAAACACAGGGGACTGAAAGTAGTTGCTTCTGGGGAAGTATTCACGAAATGAAGGGATTAGAGGGGAGAGGTGCTCATTGTTCTTCGTATTTCAATTTATAGTGTTATTTTTCTTGCTAATATATGTGTTGTCTGCAATTTAAAAATTACTTATGTTCTTTCCCCGTCGTGGTAGCTTTGATAGCGCATAATGGCGGCAACCACGTCTGCAGGGGTGCCGGCGATCTTGTCGGAAAAGCAAGAGTTTTATCAGCTTCTGAAGAACCTCATCAATCCAAGCTGTATGGTGGGGAGGCAAGAAGAGGAAATCTACGAAAATATCCCAGGATCCTCATCCAAGGGTGAGGGCTGCAGCCTGTACTACACTTGGACAGATGGCTACAGATTTTGCACCTAATTTCCGAAAGAAATTTCATGAAATGGTGGTTACAGCTCTGTTACCTACCATGGAAAATCAAGGTAATCAGCGTGTGTAATCACATGCAGCTTCTGCTCTTACTATTTTTATTGAAGATGCCCCAAATCATTCCCAGTTCTGTATTTGGACAGTATGGTGAAAAATCTACATTCTATCTTGGTGATTAAACTTCAAGAGTTGATTCAGAATGGAACTAAGTTGGCCCTGGAATAACTTGGGGCAACCATTGCATCGGTTGCAGATACAATCGAAGAAAATTTTTTCCCATGTTATGATATATTCATGCCCTCACTAAAGCACATCGTTGCGCTTGCTGTTCAGAAGGAACTCAAGCTTCTGAGAGGAAAACTATTGAGTGCATTGGCCATATTGGTCTTGCTGTTGGGAAGAAAAAATTTATGCAAGATGCATCAAATGTGATGCAGCTGTTGTTGAAGACACAATCAGACTTAAATAATATGGAAGATAATGGCCCTCAGACCTCTTACATGGTTTCAGCATGGGATAGAATGTGTCAGATTCTTGGAAAAGATTTTCAACAGTCCTTCCACTGGTTATCGAGCCTCTTATTAAGACTGCTTCAGCTAAACCTGGTATTGCTCTCTTAGACACACAGGATGTGGAGAATATGAGTGATGATGATGGCTGGCAATATGTAAATCTTGGAGACCAACAGCGTTTTGGAATTAAAACTTCAGGACTTGAAGCAAAAGCAACTGCTAGCCAGATGTTTGTTTACTCTGCTAAGGAGTTAAGGGAAGGGTTTGTGGACTATACAGAACAAGTTGTGAAGCTGATGCTTCCTTTACTGAAATGTATTTCCACAACAATATTCGAGTGACAGCAGCAGAGTCCGTGCCTTTTCTCCTGGAATGGTGCAAGAATTTGTGGCTACAGTATCTTGCACAGATGTGGCAATTCATATGTAACCCCTTAATCAAGGCTATTGGTACTGAAACAGATACATACGTGCTCTCAGAAATAATGAATTATTTTGCAAAGTTCATTGAAGTTATGGGAGATGGTTGCTTTAATGATGAATACTTGGAAGAACTGGGAGGCATACTGAGAGCAAAATTTGAAGGGCACTTTAAAAACCAAGAATTGCGACAGGTGAAAAGACAGGAAGAAAACTATGATCAAAAGGCTGAGATGTCTCTGTAAGATGAGGATGAATCTGATGTTTAGATTCTGACCAAAGTATCAGATATCTTGCACACATTATTTAGTACTTAAAGGAAAAGACTTTACCATGATTTGAACAACGACTTCCATGAATTGTAAATCTAATTTGTTCAAGTAGGCCATGGCTAGACAGACAGTGTGGATTGTGCGCATTTGATGACATCATAGAGCACTGCAGTCCAACTTCATTTAAAAATATAGAATATTTTCAGTGACCAATGCTACTAAATATGCGAGATAACAACTCCAAAGTCAGGCAAGCTGCTGCTTATGGCCTGAGTGTCATGGCATAATTTGTTGGAGATGATTATCGTTCTTTATGTTCACAAGCTGTTCCACTGCTGGTAAAAGTTATTAAGTGTGCAAATTCCAAAACCAAAAGAAATGTCATTGCTACAGAGAACTGTATCTTTGCAATAGGGAGGATTTTGACGTTTAAGCCTAACTGTGTAAATGTAGATGAAGGTCTTCCACACTGGCTATCATGGCTTCCACTGCATGAAGATAAAGAGGAAGCTATTCAGACTTTGAGTTTCCTCTGTAACCTAATTGAAAGTAACCACCCAGTTGTAATTGGTCCAAGTAATTCCAATCTTCCCAAAATAATCAAGAGTAATTGCAGAAGAAAAAAATTAATGGGACTATTAACTATGAAGATCCCTGTGCCAAACGCCTAGCTGATGTCATGCGTCAGGTACAGACTCCTGAAGATTTATGGTTGGAATGTGTATCCCAACTTGATGATGAGCAGCAGGAAGCCTTACAGGAGTTGCTAAATTTTGCTTGAAGCACTTTAATATGACTTGAATATTATCTACCATAAAAGTAACTACAAATAAGTGTTGTGAATGGATTTTATTATAAATCAGTGAACTGTTTTCTCTCTGCTAAGCTGTTTATAGTTCTTCCCCATGTTTCCCCAAAATTAGTCAATGTTCTTCCTCTGTTTATCTTGCATGTTTTATCTCCTAAACACAGACCTTGGTGATAACCTTTGCTTTAGGCTGTCTTACAATGTTTGTCACCTTTCCCCTAGTTGATGTGAAGTACATAAATTGTTGCTATGTGTTTGAAGTATTATTGATGCTAGCCAAGCAGTATACTTGATGGGAAAATGTCAGGCTATCACAATATGCTAAGAGCTCATGAAAATAAGACAGAATTTCCAGGACAAACATCTTTGGAATTGTGAGTGAAGGATATAGTGGCAGGCTTGTCCCTCCTTGATCAATACTCTTGATATTTGTGGTGATGGGAGGATGCTGGAACTAGAAGAGAGTTTTGAGATATTGCAGAGGATGTGGAATGTATATAAACTTTTTCATAATGTACTCCTGGGAACTGGGTGGGATATACCCGTATTCTAGTTCCCAAGGTGTCCGACTGAGAGTTAGAGAACTTTTAAATTTCCTTAGCCAGACTGGTCTCTATTTTTTTAAGTTATCCAGGACTCCAAGAACCATAGTCACTGAAAATGGAGTCCTGATTCATCTAACATTGGTAGCATGTAACAGTGTTTGACAAATAGTAAAGTAATCAATATTCTTGGGAGTCAGTGTTGTATGTTTCAGCGGAGTATTATTTTGTATATGTATGCCATTTCCCCCCTGCAAAGCAGTTCAACAAAAAGAGAAGCTCTGATTATAGGGCTTAAATTGATTTATATTTTGAAGAATTTCCTAATAGATTCTACAGTAGCACTGAAGAGCATTCTATTGTAAAAGTCAGAGGAAAGCAAATGTAATTTTCTTTGAACATGAAAAAGAAAGCAACTTTGAGAGTGGTCATTTAGCAGTAGATGTGCATTATTATGAGAAAACAGTTCCATACATTCAGGGCTAATTATATTAATTGGAATGTCAGTCTTTAATGTCTAGCTTATTGTAGGGTAGAAAAGAGCTTTCTACTCAACTAATGATTAATCATTGATCCAAAACTTAAAAACATCTATCATTTCCTGGGGCTATTGTGAGTACTGTATATGTATTTAGCAAATGTTTAAGACCTAGTAAGTGCTCAATAAATTGTAGCTGTTACTGCAAAATAAAAAATTACTTTAAAAAAAATATTCCACCATAATCACACATCGTAGAGAAGAAAACTTAAAACTCAAGTAATTCTTAGGTAAAAATAAAAATAAAAATAATGAAATCATCAAAAATGATTTTAATTGAACTTGAAAATTGTTAAGATGGTAAATTTGATATGTTCATTTTTTCATAATTTAAAAAATAAAAATAGTATAGAAAAACACCTGTGAGGGGGAAAGTAGTATTTAGGGAAAATTGTATAAATTTGAAAACATGGAAGTTTAACATAAGTATTTATAACAAGATGCTAGGGAAAAAAAACCAAAAGAGGTAGAAGAAAAAATATAATAAAAATAAATGATGAAATGAAAATCAATTAAAACAACATTAAAAATAAAGATAATTAACAAATTCAAAATCTAATGGGAAAAAAACACAAGCACAACTAGTAATAAAAAAGGGGAAATAAATTATGATAGATTTATTTTTTCAAATCATAAGTGAACATATTTTTATGCTCTCTATTTTAAAACCTAAATTTAATAAGAAATAGCTAGATATAGAAACTAACACGTTATAGAAAATTCTTAGTAAACTAAAAAAGGAAAATTTTTTGACTTGATAAAGTATATCTCACAAAATTCTACAGTTACTTAGTAGGTTTATGGATTAAATTTTAAAAAGCATTCCCCAAAATATGCAAAATACAACCAGGAAGTCTACTATCATCTCTAATATTCAATTTGGAGATCTTTGGCAGTCGAATAAAACAAACAAACTAATAACAAAAACCTCAGAAGATTAAGTTGAGAAAGGAAGCTAAAATATAACACTTTCACACAAAATGCTCTTTACACAGAAAATACTTTTAAATAGCACAGAAAAGATACAGGAGACAAATGGGAAGCCAAGAAATCATCTTGGGTAACAACAACATAAGAGGGAGGAAATGTAGAATTCTCAAGTCTAGATAAAATTATTTTATATTCAGAAAAAATTTTATATTCTTTGAATGTATAATATTTCTCAGTTTTATATATTTAGTAATAGAACATGGAAATATATAAAGCAAAAATTACAAAGCAAAGAGAAAGGTTAGAAAAAATTATGGTAACATTATCCACCACTATTCAGTAAGTGAACATGTATCAAATGTATCTATTTGCCAAAGCTGTATTTCAATCTAAATTTGTTCATTAAATGACTTTTACTGAAATTTGTTTCAACAAGTCCTTTAGGTGATACGGATGCCAGTTTGAGAACTACTGCTCTGTAAGATGTAAGCCAGGCTACCCACTTTTGTATTTCTTTTTTAGTGTTCTTGTGTCAACCTAAATATTACTTCCTCAGGGAAACTTTCCATGATCATTTAGTCCAGATTTTAGCAAACTTCTTTCGTAAAGCACCATGGTCTTGGTCTCTTATTTTTTTTAATTTTTTAAAATAATCTTTAAAAAATGTTAAAAACCACTCATTGTTCACTGGCTGTACGAGGCAGGCCTCTGTTGGGTTTGCCTACAGGCCGTGGTTTGCCAATTCCTGATGCAGGGTAGTGAAATGGTCAGTATTTCGCTGACATAGCACCTATCACAACTACAATAAAGAATTATTTATAAAATTATCTGTTTAATGTTTATCTCTGTTACACTATCAACTCCATAAAAGCAGTGATAATAGTGCCTCTCTACATCACCATTTTATTCCTAATACTGATGTAGACCATATAATTTATTGTCCAAACTTGGACATTTTGAGAGTGAAGTGGGATACTATTAACAGTT